GCGAGCATAGGTTGCCACGGTGTTTGTAGCAGCGGGAGAAATTAGAAGCCGGAGCAAGCGATAGCAAACGTTGAATTCCACGAGCCACTATGTTCTTCGATGAGACAAGATCTGCATTCCGGCGCTGGCTTCCGATAAACACATACTATTCGGCAAACCGTGGCAGCCGCTTAATTAATTTGCAGGTATCTTACGGGTACCCGGAATCATGTTGCCGGGTACGTGTGTCGCCGCAGCTAAACGCATTAACCCGTAATTATCGAAATTACAGAGCCACGAGGAAACCAACCGTAGCTTTCCCTCGGCGTCTCCAAGATCCGTCGCGGCGCCATTGTGCGGCCTACTGCGGATACTTGGATGAGTGTCCCATCTCGCTAATTATTCGAACGAAGCCCCGACCGCCCCGGTTCACCCCCCTCGTCCGACGAACTCGAGGAAATAGATTAACGCGGTGACTCAGTTTTAAGAAATTGAAACTTGATCGGGCCGGAGGTGGCCTAATCTGACCGATTAACGGGAACGTAATTAGAGTCGCGACGGAAACCCGGCTGATACCGCGGGAAAAAGTTCATTGGCCCGATCGTGATTGACGGAACGATATAAATTTCAGCCATACGGTTGATTTAATTCGTATTGGTAATGTTTCGAACAAGTGTACGAATATTCGAGGTCGTCGAACACGAAGCAAAGAACGCGTAGACGGGCACCTTCGTCTCGATTGGTTGCCTCCTCGTGTCAGCTGCGCGACGTCGACACGGGTTCAAATTTCGGCGGGCAATTTTTCCCAAAAAGTATTCCCTCGCGAGTAAGAAGCTTCCCTTTATGATGAAACAATATCGTACGTTGCCTTTCTCCGGATGTTCCCGCCTCGCGTTCTCCGCCCCCCCGACCACACGCACACACGGTCTCTTCCGCCTCTCCGATCCACTCTCACGGTTTTCGTCGCCTCCGCCCTATCTGCATTCCTAGTCCCAACGAGCCGCAAAGGAATTCCAATTTTAAACAAAAGTTTCCTGTCGGCGGCAACCTCTCTGCTTTCTTTCCCCGCCCCTTCCTCGCCGCGTCCACTCCTTCTCTGTCTTTTCATTTCACTCTCTTTCTCCGCCTCTCCGACATTTTTCTTTTCTCTATTTTTCCTGTCTCTGCCTTCGTCGCTTTCTCTCCTCTCGTTTCGCCCGGTTTCTTTGCTCCCGCGTTTCCGTCATCCGCTCTGTCCGTATCTCTTCGACTTTCCCCGTGTCTTTTCGACATTGTTGGCAGTGCACCGTGATAAGCAGAACCCCGGAGCACACGCACGGAATTTTAAAATAAATATTTTATTCGATGTTCGAGCACAGAACGCGAAAAACAAACTGCGCGCCGTCTTGGATTCCTACGAACAATATTAAACTCTGTTCACCGTTGTTATTTTCCTGCCGGAATCAATTTTACACAGCATTTTGTACGACATTTAATATTTCTCGTACGGATACCGAGACACGTAATCCGCCATATCGAAAAGAGTAGATTAAAATCGAAGGCGGACAGTTTTAGTCCTTCCCTCTTTCTCTTTTTCTCTGCCTTTTCGTTTCCACTCTGTTTTCCCATTTTTCTCTAGTTTTCTCCACCCCGTTGTCTGCGCAGCGGATTCAAGCAACGCGTTCATGCATAGCGCCTCAAACAGCTCGAGTCGCTCCTATTTTGCCAGCATCTCCTTCCCTTAATCGCCGAAAGGTGAAATGTTTTTTTTCCTCTACGCGGGAACGGCGAAGAGGTTCCTCGATACGCGCAGACGAGCGATGAAATTGCACTTACCTTTTAACTTTCCTTCGAAAAACCTACGGAAACGCCGTCTCGCGAAGAACGGCCCCGATGACAGCCACCGACTGCAACGCCTAGGGGAAAAAAGTAAAGCCGGTATCAGACTCGTCGGGCGAGCGTTGATCGATACTTTGCATAGAGAGACAAGCGTCCCGACGATTTCGTTCGAATGCACGAGCACAATCGGGCCTGGAACCGGAAAAATTCCACGAGACTTCCTCGCTTGCCGCTGTCACCCCCTGCAATTACTGTCATAATCGCTGTCGCTATAATTCTGCACGAAATCTTCGATGTTGGCGGTTCTTTCGTTCGTTCGGTAACGATCCCATTCCGGGTGTGAGTATAGATTCATCACCGAATTCTTTGCATTTGATTCTCTCTGTATCGAACCAACGGAAACAACGACTCTAGGATTATTTGCAGCTCCTCTAGGCGTATCCTCGCGCGGATGGAAGAAGATCCTCGACGGATTGGAAACACAGAAAGAAGCTAGGAACGCAAACATACGCGTACAGAGAGAGAGAAAGAGGCCAGTATCGACTGACGTTCGTTCCTGTTTACCTTTTTGCTGATCGTCGATTTTAATGCCCCCCCCCCCCTTCCCGTCCTGCAGCAGGTTGCGTGGGGGAGGGTGAAGGGAATTGTCCAGGGTAGAAAAAGCACGGGTCCCCGGTGGAGAAAATGCGAGCAAGGGCGACGATAAACAAACGCTAATCCATAAATCCTCTTGCAAACGGCAGAAAGCACGCGCTATATATGCGCGGCCGACTCGAGACGTATCAGTGCTGCGTCTGCTGCAATATCGATAAAACATTGATCCCCCATTCGTGCCTGAAGCCCGCCGTATAGGATTCGCAGTGTGCCGTGGCAGGCGGCCGCCACCCAGCGTCGGTCCGCGCTCCACACACTCGTACACCGGGTGTTCGTGCATACGGAACACCGTTCTCCACGAGATTATATTCGACTGCCGTGCGTGCACCTCTCGTACGATACCGCCTCTACATATTTACCACCCCTATGTATGTACGTGCAGGTACGCGTCTGCCCGTATCGCGATCTACACGCGAATCACGAATCCCTCGCCGCCAGGAATTCGACGATGATGGAATTTGGGTCGACGGCTGGACGACGATCCTTTTTCATCCTTTTTTCAGACTTCGAACGCGATCACCGCCGCCCCCGCGGACGCGTCAAGAGCGCGATTGTGCCTCGAACGGCTTTCGAACCTCGACGTTTCCGTTCCCCGTCTTCGCGCGACGCGTCGCTGAATAAATTTTTGAAAAATTGCGAGTGGAAAGTTTGGATGTTTCTAACCGTGAAGCGATCCGAGGATCCGTGAACCCTTTCAGCGCGTGGTCGTTCGATCCGCGCGTCTCGTTGATGTCAGATTAATTTTATTCCCGGCTCCTCGTCGTCTCCGTTCGAGATCATCTTTTCCGTTTAGCGGGACGGATCAAAGCGACGGAAATCACGCCGCGCGGAGGCATTATCGCGCGCGATTCCGCTCGACGCCGCGGAAGACCGTATCCTGTCCCCGGTCCGCCCGCTTCTTGGTGGATCAAAGCGCGGATTTCTGTCGAGGCAACGAATTGGCAAACTTCTCTCTGAAGATGGAACAGTAATTATAAGGTCGACGACGAGGTAACCGGGCGACGGAGCTCGGGGTAAAGGGTACAGGGGAGTGGGTGGTAGCGGGAGGTCGGCGGCTGTCGAGGCGCGGGGCCAGGCAAAGTCGTAGGCGAACGACGGCTCAAACACTGCGGTGCAAAATTCACAATCTAATTCAACTAAGCAAATTACTGGCAACTTCCTGGGCGGTAGCTACGCACGCTGTCCCTTCGGCCTGCATTCCCAGAAACTTAGATCAAAGGGCCCGACGGATCTGCCCCGACCGTCACCCTTTTACGAGCTGCCTCCTGTTTCGGTGTATCGCCCTGGCTACGCCTTACCCGATCCCCCTTTCATCGGTTGCGTTTCATACTTTCGGGGCTCTTTGTCCCGTCGAATTCTGGCTCCTTGACCGGTAGTCCAGCCACACGAACCTGATCCGTCTCGACTTGTTTCCGTGTAACAGATTCGATACGGTACCTTATTAGGAATCGTTCGATATTCAGGCTATTTGCCTTCGCGCTAAATAATCATACAGGCGGAATTTGTTGAAACAATTTCTGAGATACGCGTGGACCCTGTTGCCCCAAATAAAAATACTCGAGGTACGTCGAGTCGCTGGAGTCCAGACGAATTTCTGCTTTATATTAAAGAAGACTCCTTGTCCGCCCCTTTCATCGTTGCCCTTCAAATCTCCGCCGCGTAATTTATATTGACACTAATTTCAATACCCGACAATGGAGTTCCACTTTCTCCACTCGTATCGCGATTGCTCGTAAATAATGCGCCTATTGTCCCGTCGACCGGGCTGCGCGCTTATTACGTCGCGCGTGGCTCGTAAACTCATCGACGAGTAATTTTTGCCTATGAAAGAGACGCTCGCGATGTTATGAAACTCGTCGCGAAGAGGCTTCCACGTAATTGAGATTAAATAACAATCGCTAGACCGAAAAAGTAGGGGGTTAAATATACGTGATCCTCTGAGGTAGGAACCGAGTGTCTGAGGATTCGAGGGGGTGGCAAGACTTCCGGAACGCAATATCATTCGGGACGAGGCAGACGGTAATTCCCACTTGCTTGGTCTTTGGAGGCGAGGTAGCAGAAGCTGCGTTTGTTGATTATCCGGCCGGTAAACACGGCGCATTGTTATCGATTGGGCCAACAATCTGCCGCCCCCATATTGACGCAATACTGCCTCGCACTTGCATAATGAATGGTTGGCTAATGACCCTACGGAGGTTGCGGAAACCGCAGTCAGAGGAAGGTAGGCCCGGGCCTCGGAGCACTTCCGGCATCAAACATGCACCGCTCGCGGAGCCTCAGGTTCCACGAGTCTAGCCACTCGTCCGTGTATCGTACCTGTTTGTAATAGGAGAGCGAGGGCCGACTTTAATTCTTCATTAACCGTGGTTCGAGAGCGTGGCCAGATACTCGAGCTGGATATCCGCCGCGCGATACCGTTCGACGTGAATTTATCATACGCGTAGATTTTAGGACTACTCTCCACTTCCGTTGTTCTCATCCGGCGAATCTCCTTACGTTAAGTACAATCCGTGTGGCTCTAACATCAACCATGGTTCTTTTCTTTTCAGCTGTACCGAGCCCGCGGACGCCAGCAAGCAGATTCTGACCACCAGTCTGACGCGTCACTGTAAGTAAACATTATCCATTTCCTTCGTATCACGTTTGAATAAATTTTTTTGGTCAATCGACGGGAATTGCAGGTGAAACGGGGACGCTCGGTCTCGTTAAATACCGCTCGCGAGTAGCGTAATTCGTCCCAGGCGCGGCCGGGAAACGAAAACGAGACACCGAGGCTTAACAATCGTTTCCCTCCCCTCTTATCTCGCGCGGGTGGCACGGCGTTCCCTGAAACTCAATGTCGCTCTCGCCCGTTATATAAGTTGTACTTTAATACGTCGCGGATGCGATTCCTTTGTAGCCGGCTTTCTGTCACTTTTGCCCGGCTCGCCAACCCGCGTACAGAACGGAACGCCCGTGGAGAGGGTGGAAACCGGGTGGGGAGGGATGGTGGGTCGCGACATTCGCATGGAACTTCCACTTTTGTCCCCGTCCACGCAATAACGACTCTAATCTCCTTACGTTCCAAGCTGTTTTTGCGGCCCGAACGAAAGCGCTTACGGCGTTGACCAGTCGGCTATAAGGGACTTACAATTTACTTCCACGTAAGAGGCTTTATGCGGCGCATTGCGCGTAAAACGTTGCGCTACGAGGGGACTTTACTTAACGTTCATTCCGCTTTACATTCACCGCGACGACGGCCGAGAGGGAGGAGGGTAACGCGGCTTTATTGCAGACAACACCTACAATTTCGCGATAGCACTCGGACAGACCGTTATAACGGGGTGCAAAAGGGACGAGCAGGGTTTTTCCCGCGGTCCAAAGTCTCTACCCGCCGAAGAAAGCGGTCCTTTCCGCTTCTCTTCGATCGTTACGGAACACGGAGACGTAACCGTTACTCCGACTCGTTTTAAATCGTGTATTCGACGGGGTGGACGGCACCCAATTCCTCTGATTAATTTTTATACGGCCGGTATTTCGTTCTTTATCCGGCAAAAAATTCTGACGACGCGCAAGAAAACGTTCGAGTACTTACTCATAACGATCATCTGGATTTTATACCGTCCCAATTATTATAACGCCGTTTCTCGAAATTTCATCTCGCTGCCTGGAGCTCGCTCGCAGGGGAAGAAGAGGTTTCAGCACATTTTACGGGCGTCTCATCGAGTGAATCATGGCGCACTCTTGCTTAGAACACCCCCGGGACTTTTGAAGGACAATCCAATTTCCAAGGCCGACTTTACGTCAGAAAGATATTGTTTTCAAGGGGATACTGGGAACGAGAGTCTCAAAAATTCGTGTCCCCGACCACTTTTTCCGCGATCGTGTTTCCATCCCCGTAAACAATTTCTATTCCATTCATTATTCGACATCTCTATTTACCAAATGAGAACGAAAGCAAAATATACCTATGGAAAGTGTTTGCACGATTTAAAAGGAGTATAAGCGAACAAACGAACGGTGCTAGAAAGTCAGATCGAGCCAAGGCTATTCATTATATGGTCTATTGGACGTACAGTAACTTCGTCGAACGCGACAGAGGCTGAATGTGGTTGCTCAATGAGGTTTGGCGAGCCAACAATAAGGAGGCAGGATTTGGAAGGATTTAACTTTAAGCCATACGAGGAGGACCAATTTGAAATTCTAACCATGTTCGGTTTCGTGTTCATGAATCGCAGTATGAATACTGGAGATGTCAATGGACTGCAATATTTGCGTCTCGCGGGATTGCAATGTAAGCCCGAGTGGATTCACATACGCGCAGATGATCTGTGACAAATAAGCCAAATAGAAATTACCCTAACACAGATCCTTTCAGCCCTCCACGTGTAATTTAAACAACCCAAATCTTAAATCTGGCAACTCTATATTTTCGACGCGTATTGTACGAGCCCATAGGTGTTCAATAGATTTGCTATGGTAGGAGGTCAAAATATAATATTTCAATTTTGAAGGATGAAACAATCGCTGATGAAGCAAAGAAAGCCACCGAATTTCATTGGTATCGATTCCGCCGCGCGTATCCAGTTTCTATTTCATATCGGTCGATGAAATTTCGAGCCATCGGCCTCACCCAAGATTTATTCGCGTCGCGTAATTAAATATGTGGGCGATAACGCATATTCAACGTAATTACAAAAATTAATCGCATTTCAAGAATTATCTGATTCGCCGTGCGCCCGTATTAATTGAACGTTTATTCCGGTTTTCAACGGCTTCATGGCGATTCAATTAAATATTTTGTACCACTGTGCATTTAAATTCGTCTAGAGCGCGCGCGCGGGAAAGCATTCGGTCGGAAAATAATGTTCGGGGACGCTCGAAATTCCACGGTTTCGAAATTACTGACCACTTCGCCGCGCGTTCCAAGGTTCCCTTGAGCTTCCATCCTACTTTTACTATTTCACGCAGCGATTCTCAAACTGCACCTTCCGGGGCGCCCCTAAAAAACAGACAAATTAAATTGAAATTCCTAACAGCTTCTCAGGTTACAAAAAAACAAAACAAAATTGACGCAAGAATCTTTTTAAACTCTATAGTAAGAATAAAATAGCGAGGGAATTTTTTAATCTGCTGTATAAAGAGTCCATCTTTTCCTGGCGGATTAAAACGCTCCTCCGACGCGATTCCCCAAGGGTACGAAAAGCACAGTATGAGAAACACTGATTCAACATGTTCTTAGCAAAGTCAGAGAGATGTTTCTCCACCTCTTCTACAGCGTTCCGTCTCTGACAGAAATTCAAGACAGACTCCCGGTTCAGTGTCAACAGACGCAGGAAAAATATTTTCAGGCCGCTGTATGAAACCTTTTAATTAAGCATTTCTTCGTTCGTGGATGGAAAAAAGATTTTTCATTATGTAAATCTTGGAGACTCTCCGGAAACATTCTTCGCGGCCCGCGGCCACTCGGTTCTTCCCTTCGAAGACTCTTGGCTGAATACTTTATTTTAAGTTTAAGAATTCGTCCTCCCCCTCTAACCAAACGCGTTTCATTATGGTCAACTTTCCACTTGTCGAGTACAGTACCCCTGCTTATTATCTAAGCTTCAATCCGCGTAGCGCGACACCGCTTTATAAATTATTTCTTCCGTTCGTTTTATTCACTGTCAACGCGTAAAGAGAATATTGCATTCCAATTTTTATAGAAACATTATTTCAGCCGACTCGACGTTTCAATTATTTCCAAATAACAATCCCCGGAAACGAAAGAACGAAATGTGATTTCAAGTAGTTATTTTTCGTTTCCATTTCAATTAAAATTAACCCTCTGCTTCGAGTTGGTCGAAGTATCTCTTTCTTAAAATATTAAAGCGCGATAACGTTGGCAAGACGAGGTTCCGGTTACTTTCTGCCTTGCCGCAACTCGCGAGGCTTCTAATCGGGAATTTTGAACACCTAGACGTCTAAAAACTTTTGCGATAGTACACACGTAGACGATGTTACTCCGGAAAAGCGCATTTCCCTCGTAGCCTCGGCGCAAGAAGAACAACGAGAGTTTCTTCGATATTTTCTCTGTAGTCGCTTTCGATCACGGCGCCCCTCAAACTCGGTTGCACTCGAATCGCTCGAAACATATGAGAGAAAAAGGTCAGCCATTTTGATCGATCCCCGTGCTCTGGTAGCAATAGAAATTTAATCAAAGGCAAAAAGTGTTTGGGGCGACAGTTATCGGGGCAAAATGAGCCCGTGTTGGCCGGAAGTCCCCAGAAATAGATCGGAACTGGTGGCCGCGAGACACGTAATCCCGACAGGAGAATCGTTGAATGGCCGACTGGAGTCGGTGTTAGTTAGAAATGGCGCTCGACTAGCAGCCAGAGTGGGTTTACATCGCAGTTAAGTTTCGCAGTAACGTCCGTGCCAGGGGGACGCGACACTAAACCGTCTTCCGTGCCCCCCCTTGCCGTTGGGACGCGGATTTACCGACCATTTGGCAAATGAAGACGAAACTGCCTCGTAGATTACCGCGGTCGCGATACACTACCCCGACAGCTCCGAACCCTCTAACGCGTCCACGAGATTCCTTCTGCTTGATCGGGGCGATCGTTTGTCACTTGACTTCGGTATTTGATCCTTTGTTCTCGTGGATACAGGCTGCTCCATGACTCGTCATCCGCACGGTGCACGGACTGGCAAACCTCGTACAAATTTAACGTATCGAACGAAAAGACGTTTGATGTTTCATATTTTCTTTATTTGCACTGTTTCAACCGTATCGGATTAAGTGCGATATAATTCTCTTTCGTGGAAGCTCTATCAGAGTCGCGGGAGACAAGAATGGTGCCAGTTTTCGCGTCGCGGGTCGATGTCAAGCGATGTATACATATACAAAAAGAAAAGCAAACACGACGAGGCGGAGAGGACAGACGGAAGAGGCAGAGACCAGAGAAGTATTACAGAAAATACTTTTCCGATAAGTTGAATGGCGTATCTTCGATCGATCAGCATTACGATGAAGCGATGAATCCCGGCATCGAATGTAGTTTAAACACTCTTTTACATTGTAAGAATACGTTGTAAGAAATGTTGTTACGTTGCTCGACAAATTCCTGCCCCTGAAAGTCGACTTTGAGGAATATAGAATACCAAGGCACTGTTGTGTTGGTAAAACTGCAGTATAATAATTTTAAGTGACGCTAAATGAATGCAAATTGATGATAGGATCGAGCACAGGGCGATCTTTTGTCTAAGAATACGTGGAAAGCGAGTAACAGAACATGTCTGACCAATATCACTTATTTCTACTTACATAAATGTTTCTGGACATTACCAGTGATATTTTCTGCCTAGATTTACTTACTCTAAGTTAATCTTACTATTCTATAACCATTCATATAACAAATAATAGTATACAATCACTATAAACGCGTAAACACATAATTTTAAGTAGTAATACCGAGTATAGTCAGACCTGCTTAATTTTCAATATTTTTTTTCTCGAAAACAAAGCCTCGAATGAAAAAATGTTGCTCCATATTTTCGATCGATTTTCGCACGAGGAACCATCCTATTTTTTGAACAAAATTTTAGAGCAATATCGCTGATTCTACGAATCGAAGCCGCTGATCTCAC